TTGACTCGTAAGGTAGATCAAAGGGGTTTCGCCTTGGCAACATTACAGACGGAGCAGACCCAGGAATGGGTGGTAACCCCAAGTTGTCAAAGGAATCATATGGCAGATCAAATGGGTTGTGTCTTGCTGTTGAAATTGGTGCAACATTAAACGGAAGATCAACACTATCAAAATCTATTAGATTCTTCTCTGCCGTTATTTTGAAGCTTTTCCTTGCTCTTCTCCTTGCAATAAGGTTCTCCAACCGTCGGTTCCTTTCGAGCTCCAGATTCCCCAAATCCATGAGATTCTTTTGGTCATCCTCGGTCCACTTGATCGCAGATTTGCTTTCATCATCCTTCCCATCTGGTGCTTCTTCCTTGTCACCGTCATTATAATCATTCCTGTCCTCTCCTACTTCTCCACCGTGGTTTTCAGTTTCCACATCAGACTCAACACTGCCAGCATTGCTCCTATTAGACTGGTCTGAAGCAGCATCGGACTCATGACCATGGGACACATGAGCTGGCTGTGGAGCTTCTGAGTCTAAAAGAGGGTGCAGCTCATCAAGCATCGGAAGAATGTCAGCCATTGAAGCATCTGGCGAGGAACTCTCCGCTCGATCCGACTCAGAATCTGAAGCCTCATCATCCACATCACCAGCCTCGTCATCACCCCCACTGCGAAGCAGTGAAGAATACAAGTGATCACCATCGTGAGCATAGCCTGACCCTCGAGGAGATATATCATCGTCTTCCACTTGACGAATCTCATTTCGCACCTTTTGAAAAGAAGTATACTGCTGCCCAACAGCCTCATCATCACCACCACCATTCCCAAGCAGTGAAGAATACAAGTGATCACCCTCATGAGCATAACCTGACCCTCGAGGAGATAAATCATCGTCTTCCACTTGACGAATCTCATTTTGAACCTTTTGAAAGAAAGTGTACTGCTGATCAACAGCTGCCACATCCCAGTCAATGCCTTCAATCCCCAAGTGATCATTATCAATCTTTCTCCGCTCTCCCAACTCCGAACTGTCTAATTCTCTCTCCACATCCTCAATCTCTCTCTTCTCACCACCAATGTTTTGCAAACCCTGATCAATAAGTGGCACATAAACAACCGAACCATCGCAATCCTCATTCACTCTCTTCTCACTATCAGTGTTTTGCAAATCCTCACTAATAAGTGGCACATAAACACCCAAACCATCACGATCCTCAACCCCACTACTCGCTTTCTCTATGGATGCATCAACAAAATCCCTAGTCTCTCCCACAAACCTCTCCGCGGAAAAGCTCCCACCTCTCTCAAGCACGACAGTGTCATCCCCTAAACCCATAGTTCTAAGAGAAGCAACGTCATCACAGGTAACCTTCTCTTCCCTTTCGATTTCGGGTACGTTGGTTTGGCCAAAACTCAGAAGGGTTCCTAGAAGAACAGCAGTGCAGACTAAAACCGGGGACGTCGAAACCAAAAGGGCAAACAAAAAAGGAAACGATCTGTACAGAAATAGCAGAAAAAGCAGCATCCCAGCAAGAAATGGATGATTGCAAACTGATCTGTAACATATTCTGTATGAGATCAACACAATTTTCCGGAGTTTAACTCCGCTTTCTAACACCAACCCCATTTTTTTAACTTCTCAGTGGATTATGGATATAAATACTGATTGCAGTTCCAATCTGTATGAACAGAAAATTAACCAATCAATCAACATGCTAAAAGCTTGAAAAACAAGTAGGAAACAATCGGAGAAAAGAAAAACCCACCTCAGTGAAGAACCAGATGGGAGTCCAAATCGATCAGATGAAGATCAATCAAAAACCTGAAAGCAGAAATTGACGAGAAAAAATGGGAAAAGTTGAGATTTTTTGGAAGGGAAAGAAAAATGGAGACTGAGAGGGCAGATGAAAAACCATGGAAAGTAAAGGGCAACGGGAATCTCCTCAGCTTTTTCTTTTGAGGGAAAACAGCTAAGGAAAGCTGTATGTATGTATCTATAATTTTATATCACCATGAATGTATGTCAGTGGTTTTTGGTATATATTTGATTTGATTTTTTAGAGTTGACAGAGGAAAATGGGGCGGCACAGAAAGAAAAGAAAAAAAAGAAGCTACTCCGTCAAAAAGTCACGACTCCAACATCTTTGTTCATGAAATGGTTAATGTGTCGGTGTATTCGTGTCATCAAATAAATTCTTCTTAGTCATTAAGGAAATTTTGGTAAGGAATTTTGACTAGTTAGATAGTCGGGCACGCTTCACAGTCCCACAAAGGAATAGATCCCATTTTTGTTGTTGTACCATTCGTCATTCTCACAAAGAAATAGATTTCACTTTGGGTAGTAACATTTAACTTCATGTAGGTACAACTCCCAATGTACATATCTAATTTGTTGTAAGGGTGGATCTGACTAGTTCGTTAGTTAGGCTAACATACTCAAATTTTTCCCCATTTATGTAGATCGTAAACTATGATTCATAAACAATCACCTGATAAAGGAAAGAAGGAATCAAGCGATCCATTCTTAAAACTCTTTCTTTGAAGCTGATTAGACTACTATACACAAATTTTCTTCTATGCACTAATTTTTTTTCATCTATAGTTTGGATTATAAAATAATGATTGGCTACTAGTAGATGAGCAAGAACTCGTACTTAAAACTCTTTGTGGCCGAATTACAGAACTTCGTGCTTATAATCAGAACTGTTCATATTATGGATCACTTTGTAAATATCATCTTTACGAAAATGAATTAAAACTAAGATTGTTTAGTCAATCTATTATACCGCATCCATAAACTGTTCATAATACTTTTACTAATTTTGTGATTTGTTTTTAAACAATTCAATGATTAAATGATCTTAATTTTAATTGAGATTTTTGCAGATGCGATCTTTAGATAGTAATTTATAATATGAACAATTCTGATCATCTCAACACGAAATTTTATAAATCAATAACGAACAATTTTGAATAAGTACTTGTGTCCATTATTTAAATGGCCATGTACTATTCTAAATTACATTAGAACATTCCTCAAATAACAAGAAATAATTCTCCCTATTATTATATTCTCATTCGTGGTGCTTCTGTTTTATAAGTTATGTTTATGTACCCACAGTCCCACTGTAGCTACATACGCATACATCTTGACCGTTCATCTCTTTATGATATTCGCGTCGCGTGCGGTGGGTGGGAGCTCATAATCTCTACCAATTATTAAAAGTAAGAATGATCGATGGTAATGCGTGTGGTGGATGGATGATCATAACAACCTCGGGCAGAGGACTTTTAATATTCACTTTCCTTTTCTTGCAAGCTTACATAAAATAATTACATGTTGTCCATGAATTTTCCAACATGACAACTTGCTACAACAACGATATGCTTTTGTGTCATCGATTTATAACGCGAGAGCAGTGAGTAAAAATGCATCAATGACTAATAATCTATGCTAAAATAAAAGTGTAAAGCCACACGACATTAGATTTGCAATTGTAAATCCGCTCAAAGCATAGTACGTATTAGGTTTAGAGCTCATAGTTCAGGTTATTGGTGATTGTATAAGAGAATTCTTTTTTCTTTTTTCAGCATAAAAAATGTTTTCTTAGTCACCAAGTGATCAAAGAATGTGTGGTCGGACATTCATAAATAAATGTGTTTTTATTGTTTTAACCTCAACTGCTCACTTCTACATTTTTGTTTTGGTTATCGAGATTATCAATTCTATTGTAGTGCGGGAATGACTGTTCTTAAACGAGGGAAATGCTCCTCTGTAACTAAATCTAAATGTATTAGAATGTGAGTAATGCTAGGGAAACTCAATTTGGACACTAAATTTTGGAAATTAAAGAACATGCAAATTGATTATTGGTTTATTAGTTAAGTATTGATAGACGTGCTTATTTGTATTGGTGACACATCATTTAGTTTGTAATTTTAGTTTCCAAATTTAATTTTTCTAGCATTACTCTTAAAATGTTTTATCAAATACAAAGATGGGGAGACCATGTCACTAGTGGTGACCAATGGCATGGGACTCTTCCCAGCATAATCTTTTTCAAGGACTTTGTACACAGAGGTGGGGGATGATTTTACTGGGACAATTCGCAGTAGTTTTGTTGATCACTATCGCTAACAAGCACAATCCGGAATCTAATTGACAAAGGGTGCCTGCATCCATAGTATGTCACAGCAAAACGATGAGTTTGAACTATAGCGTTGTTCTCTTTTCGAAAAGATATTATGGGTCAAAATCAAATCTGCAAATTCTCACTGTGTTCCTTTGTCTTCCACTCGACCACTTGATCTACATCAAAAAAAAGGCCAAGCTTGAAATAGGAAATACAATTACTCTAAAATGAAAAGCAAAAAATATTAACGCTGTAACAAACATTAACTTGGTGCTGGGAAATCACCGGCAAATGGATTTGACTTGCCATCCAGGTTATAAAAACAGGTCATCCGATTCTCAGCTCTCTCTCATCTCCTCTCATGATCTGATCCTCTCTCATCTCCTCTGATTCTCTGTCCTCTCTCTTCTCTTTCTCTCTCCTCAAGAAGTTCTACATACAACCCGGGTGGCTAGTGGCACTCGTTTCTCAACTGCCGATGTGATATTTATCTTTACGCGTTAGTGAGAGGATGCAAATTCAATTTTTGATGAGTTAGATTCTAAATTATTCTGATTGATTGTTGTACTTAATTCAAATTCTCCACTTCGTAATGTAAATATTGACTTATAGTGGAACTGAACACAAATTCCCAAATAAGGTGATGCACTCAGTCCACACTCGATTAGATTTTCCATGTTGATAAGGACTTGCATGGAATTTGTTTCCTTATAACGTCCTGATCCAATAATGCATTGTCATGTGAGCCAAAATTTACAAAAAAAAAAAAAAAGTGGTTGCAAATCTCATGAAATTGTTTGATAACAAAACATAGGTTGTTGCAAAACTCCAAACATCACTTCCCCAAAGATCAATAAAATGAGAGAACTTACGAAAGGTACCCCAACGCTCAAGTCAGTATTTGTATAAATATCTTATTAGTACATTGCTGATGTGGGTTTCAAACTCCAAACATCACTTCCCCAAAGATCAATAAAATGAGAGAACTTACGAAAAGTACCCCGACGCTCAAGTCAGTATTTGTATAAATATCTTATTAGTACATTGCTGATGTGGGTTTCAAGGCATCACATTCCCAAAATTCCAATCTCAGTGTAAGTATTGATCATTAAATGGTGCTTCGTTGAAGGCTATATTCACTTTTTAACCAAGAGTGTAGAAAAGGAGCTGTAAAACCAAATCCTAAAATCTACTGCTCATCATACACCTACTTTTGTGTTGCCATTTGCAACATCTTTGCTGTCGTGCGGTTGTCCTTGTACCTTCTCATTGGCAACCTCCACGTTCGACGAAGCTGCTTTGTCGCACGACGAGCAACCGCCTTCATCAGAGGCCTCGGAACATTGGTCAGAAGACAACTCCGACCGCTGCAACTCAGACATGATTGATGGTGAGTAAGCTGACGAACAGCCAGAGTCAACGAAACTAGACATTTTCTTGTCATCTTCTCGCATTCTTTGTCCGTAAGCTTCATAGTCAAAACCACCTGAACTTCTTCCACCAAATGCAGATTCCAACTTGTCCATGTTGAAAAGATCTTCCATTACCTTCTTGCTCTGCGGGTTGTCCGAGTACACAAACTTCACCTTCTTGTGTGTTTTCGGCTCAAGAAATGGTTTTACCATCTGCAATTCAAAGAAAGTTTCACCAGATTTTTCAGACGAGCATTCTCGTCAGTTTTTACGCGAACAACACAAGGGGAAGTATATGAGTATTTAGAATTGACGCGAACTGCTGAAACCGCAAAACTGGTGACTAACGACAGATAATTCTAACAAACCAATGGTAGCTTCTGTGAAGCCAAGAGAAGCCTTACATGCCCTAAAACAGTAAGCAAGATTTTCGTTTTTAAAAACTTGTTTGAGTTGTTTATTTTTGTAGAAGATTTATACGTTTAATTTAGAGTTTTTCACATACAAAACCTTGAAAACTTTAGAGTCTGCCGGAAGGTAAATCTGTTTACAGAAACTAGTTCCGTGGCCAGATTTCTTTGCTTCATTGATTCACTTAATCACTACATTCTAGTTTCGATCATTCCAAAACGTTAATCATAAAGCTCTTGCCTACATTCCAAGTTTCCAACATAGCTCAATACACTAACCCTAATATCAAATGCAAAGAGTAATATCATAAAAATTGAAGAATAATTAGGTTTAGACAAGAAAACAAGAACAAATGCAGATAGATGCGTAATAACATACCGTCCAAAAGGACTCAAATACTTTTGGTGGATTATAGAGGATGCCAATTCCCAATCTCTCAGGGTAATGATTTTGCAGGATCTTTGCTGTTTCCCTAGTCGCCTTCAACGATATGCTTGATGTGTTCCACTGTTGAAAATCGATTAGCCACGCCATCTGTTCCTGATCTGAACTCATATTCAGAATGGCATTCTCCATGCAGTATACCAAATACATAATCTGCTTGTTTACTGCATTCGTGTTCTGACACAACGAAAGAATTTCACAATCAAGCAGAAAAAATGGTAACAACTTCTAACATTAACGTTGATGCTTTTCATGCGATTTAACTACCTGAAAACCAGGCCTCAGGATAAGAACTGTCCTTCCAAACTTGTCATAGTAATTGGCTCTGTACATTTTTCCTGTCTCCGCTTCTTGAGCAATGTCTTCCTACATAAGATAAAAATAAACCACTTTCAAATAGGATTATTCCAGAAAATCAACTACTTCATAACTCGATCAGATCATGAAGCTTTGAAAAATAGACGGTTTAGCTCTTTGAACTACAAATAACATGCAGCTTAAGGAGAGGGAACCAGAATTTTTCTAAGATCCAAACGGTCTATTTTCTAAAGGAAACACTACATTCGTCTATTAATTTGGATATTTTTTGTTGTTGGCAAGAATGGTTTATGCGTCAAAGCTTTAAAAAATAGACGGTTTAGATTTTGAAACATACAGGCGCATTGCTTACCCATTGGACCTTCTCGGGCTTGAACTCCGACCTCCATTTTATAGTTTCTTTGAGCATCTTGCCTGCCTTCTTCGTATTCCAGTTCCGCGCTCTTAGGTACCTTGATATTGAATCTTCTGAACAAATGGCTGGCAGCCTATCCGCAATAGGACCCATCATCTTCCTCACCTCATAAATCTGAAGAGCACGAGGGCCAAATTATTTCCTATGAAAAAAGGTTCCAAAATAAACAAAAAAATATATAGAACTTTACTGCATCAAAGTTCCCATTCACTGCTACAACGAAAGGACGACTCAAATTCACCGTTAAGTCAGCTTATAATCCCATTTGGTTGATGAGTAAAGGGAGATTGCTTTCTAATGAGCAGCGAGTTAGAAGACAAATAACTTCTGATTCTTCTAGTATGACTTGTTGTGGACCAATTGAATCCGTTGCTCATCAAAAGCACTTTCACAATGATTGCTTTTGGATCATATAAAAAATCTGCTTGTTTCTCCATTTCCAAATATACCAATTCTAGTCGAATTGGGGCTGGTGGCGTACTAAGAGATCATAAGGACAAATTCTTGCCCGTAAATTTGATTCAATTCACACCTCCTTAATTGTCTCATCATTAATCTGCAGCCATGCATAATTTCTAAGCTAAAAGTCTTTCGTACACAGCTTTACTCTTGCTTTGCAAAGAGGTTGTTTCCATGACTCAAACATGTGACCTTTGCATCACAAAGGAGCAACATTTTTGTTGCACCAAGGCTTGTCCTAAACCCTACACCATTACAACGAAACAAAAAGAAAATGCTTTACGCACATTTTTTTCTTTCTGCACACCCTTGTTTATTTCTACCTCTTGATATTCCTTTAATTCTCGTTTCAGTCAAAATATCATACATAAACAGGAGTGCGAAAATCAATTCTTACGAAACAAAATCTTATAACTTCATCTATACCTTGGCCAGCTGCTCTTCATGGGACAATGCTTTATCTGTTGTGCTTTCCCGCTTTTTGAATGACATCTTTTAAAAAAATGCAATGAAACTAAATTTTTTTAACACAATTGATCACCAAAAATCAACTGCAAAATTCAAAAGAAAATAAGAAAAAATATATAAAATTTTAAGGAAAAAAGAAAAGCAATGAGGAGGATAAATTAATCTACAATATTGTAAGTAAATCTATATATAAATTGAAACAGAAAAAAAATAAATTAATACCTGTTTTTCCATGCAAATGCAGAGCCAGAGCTTCGTAGCTCATTACAAATATCGAAACCAATATCCATTTAAAATTTCCCACATCTGAAAATTCCTATCACCCTTTTTTTTCTCTTGTTTAAATTAATAATAATATTATTATTTATAGAATGATGGAAAAGTAACAGATTTCAGATTCGATAAATAAGGAAAGAAAAACCAATAACAATGTAACAGCATTAGCAACGGTTGTGGAAGAAATTTATTAGTGTGCTGGAAACATGGTTCCGTACCTTAAATTTCATAATACAATTAATTGTAAATATTTTTTTTTTCAAATTTTCAACTAATTATATTGTAAAACTTATGTACCAGATTGAATCGTGTTTCTGTCAAATTAAAAAATCGTTTCGTGTTGTGGCTTTGAATTGGCATTCCTTACTTTCCAATTTTATTTTTTATCAAATTTTTTTTTCTGTTTATATTTCTAAGGAATTATTTTGGCCTGAATTATTATAAATTGACCGGCAGGTGAGAGGAGAGGTGAGTGCGTGGACGAATTGGAGGCGACCGTTTGGGATTGATGGTGGTGGAAGGAGAGCAGAGGTTTAGGACCGTCTGGCCAAGCTTTGGAGCTTTTTACGGGAACAAATGGCCACATTTTGATAACCCAAGACTCTGTGAATGACCTCATAATTACAGAAATAACTTATACGCAACGAAATTTCAAATTGAATGTCAGTTTTGCAATTTTACGTGGATAAGTTAAAACAGGTGACGGTATAGATTTGAAATACAGTTATATTCACCTAGGTTATCCATCAGCCAACTACTACTTGGTCCAAACCCAATATTGTTTGTACAGCCCGGTAGGTGTGAACTTTATGCTAAAAGCCTTGGAGTTATTAGCAGTGAGTCATTCATTTATATATTTATTTTGATCTATGAAGTTTCGCGTAAGGGGTTTAAAAATTCTCAGACAGAACTGAAAATGGTAAGTGAATGCACATAATAGGATGTGGGTTGGGCTGGAGAGCAACTTGTAGGGCATTGATATACCGGCACAATAACATCTTGTGTACAAGTCCTCTGATATGGTTGGCGAAAGGTAGATCTCTGCTGTGAGTTGACGTCAGCATCGACCTCATATTTACATAAAGAACTTATATGCAACTGGAATGAAATGTCAAAATGAATGTCAAACTTGGAATACAGTCAATTCACGTAGGCTATCCAGCAGCCAACTACTAATGGTCCAACAACTGACATTGTTCCTAACTGAATTGCTTGTATAGCCCAATAAACGTGTGAATTTTTTGCTAAAAGTCGGTGTTATTAATATTGGATCAATCATTTATATATTTATTTTGATCTATTAAGTTTCCGATGTAGGGTTTAAAAATTCTCCGACACAACTGAAAATGCCAGGTGAATTCACATAATAGGATGTGGGCTATGGCTAGAGAGCAACTTGTATGGCATGGATACACCAACTAGGGATGTGCAACGGTTATGGTGGGCGGGTAACCGCAGTTATTTATCTATAACCGTTTATTCTCATACCCGCATAACCGTTTATCCGTTGGTTAATTGTCTAAACGGTTATACTCATACCCATAACCGTTTATAAATGGTTAACCATACTGATAACCGTCTACCCATTTAATCGTAACCGTTTAATACCCATTTATCATTTTTAAACCCGTTTATCCTTTCTTTTTTACCATTTACTCCTACGTGTTTTTTTAACAACTTGAAAATTAAAAAAAAAAAATTGTCATAATTTTCTTTTTCTAACAATTAAACACCGTTATAGGGTACATTCATCATACATTTCCGCATTTTAATTTTTTAAGTCCTTATACCATTCCAATAATTGAAATAATATTTTACAAACGATGTTTTTAACTGTTAGCAATGAAGGTAATATAAAATTTAAAGTGGTTAATGAAAGTTATATTATATTAGCTATAGAAATCATGCACTATAGTCAATAGCATTGATCTAAGTTTTGTCTGATAGGGAACATGATTTGGATTAATTTTACATATATAAAATAAATGAGTAAATGGTTACCCGTTTATAACCACGGTTAATACCCATAACCGTCAATTTAAATTTCGCAGATAAACGGTTATACCCATAACCGTTTATTTATCTAAATGGCTACCCATAACCGTAACCGTGAAATTTAAATGGATGGGTAACCGCGGTTACTCATAACCGATGGGTATTTGCCCATCCCTAGCACCAACACACCAACACCCCGTGCCATACAAGTACTCTCCTGTGGCTGGCGAAAGGTGGGTCGCCGCAGTGAGCTGACCTGAGTGTTGATGGCGATGGTGTTGGACGGTTGTCTGGTGGGTGGGTAGGGGGCCTAGGGGCAGTTTAGGGGTATTTTGCTACTACAATACATGAACCCAGAATAAGCTAATTCTTGTTTTGTTGCAAGAGACGGATATGATCGACAAAATACTGATTACAAAGAAGTTTGTCAATTAGTGTTGCTAAACCCTAAACCCGAAACCCTGCATCCAGGCTAGCTGCTAAACTCTAGTTGATCATATGGCTTCTAATCAACCAAGCAAATAAATCACAAATTCTCATTACTTGTACGCATAGATACTAACCCGGAGCTAAATTAAACTATTTTGGAACGGGAGCCTGGGCTAACTGTTGAAGCTGATGAACAATGTGTGACATCCTTGGGCGCATTGATGGGACATGCTGTGTACAAGCATAAACGAGGTCCACCACCTTTTGAATCACACCAGCCTCCGGAATCCCAGAAGAAGAAGCGGTTATATGAGGATCCAGGAGGTCCGGGTAGCGATGAGCCTGAACCAGAGGTGTTGCCCACTCAAAAATGCTCTGCCAACCCACAGAATCAACGGCCTGTGCAGGTCTACGTCCACTGACAATTTCAAGCAGCAGCACACCAAAACTATAAACATCACTCTTTGTCGTAAGTTCATTTCTGTAGACAAATTCTGGAGCAAGGTATCCGTACGTGCCACCAGCCATCACGGTCCTCTCATGGATAGCTTCATATGGGACAAACTTTGACAGACCAACCCCCATTAGATGTGCTCCGAAATCTTCATCAAGCAGTACATTACTGGCACGGATATCACGATGCACGACATGTGGCTTCACCTTGTCATGCAAGAACCTGTTTTGACATATGAACAGGTGAACCACCAGTTAAACATGATTCATTCTGCAACATTCAAATCCTTCGCATTGCAGTCGAAGGTAGAAAGATGAAATAAGGGTTGACACTTTTCACCGAAACAAGAAAAAGAAATGAAGATTGACAATGATGGCATGACCACCAACACTAAAGGCCAACAATTGAGCAAGCAAGGGAAAGCCATATCATAAATAAATGCATGGAAAACGTCCAAGCTAAGACTAATGTATGATACTGATAGCAGTCATGGGAAAGCCATATCGGAAACCATGATAGTGAGATCTCGGAGACATGATAACTATCATGATCATAAGAATGCCGTGAAATAGATGCAAACAGAGAAAAGATCTAAGTGAACAACCAGTCTCAGATTTTAGATCTTTGTTTGACCTAAGACTAAAACGAAAAGTGATGTTTAACTTACGCAATTCCTTGAGCAAGAGTTGTGGCAATTTTCATTCTCACGGCCCAATCTAAGCTCCGACCACCCCTAGGTATGTGGTGCAGCCATTTATCCAAAGGTCCATTAACTATGAACTCATAAACTATGTAGCGATCACCATGATCATAACAGCAGCCTTTCACAGCCACCAAATTTGGGTGGTGAAGCCTTGAAACCCTTCCAATTTCAGAGTAGAACTCCTTTTTCCTTTGAAAACTAGATCTCTTCAACCTCTTAACAGCAACCCTTGAGCCATCAGGAAGAAGTCCACTATACGTGCCACCTGTCTTGGCATCTCCCAGAAGACGGTTTCCTTCACTAAAGTTCTTTGTAATTGACCTTAGTTCCTCTTTCATGAAGACTTTCCATGACGGAGGGACTAATGCAGTTTCTGCTGGATTAGATAGTTTGCGGGAACGTCTGCGCTTCTTGCTCCGCTTGTATGCAAGAAGCCAAATCACTACAGCTAATGTTGTGAAGAGAATCAACCCACTTACTACTCCAAGGATAATAAGATATTCTCTGTGGCAATGCATGTGGTAACATCTGTTCCCTGAAAGAAACAGGAGTGAAATTAAATTAGCTGGAGAGAAAATGCAAGATTGGAGTTCGTAATGACTTGTATTTGACCAAAAATTACAATATATACCTAAATCAACCATGCATATAAAAGCACGAGACGTATTGCATCTTTCAGCCGAGAGAGATGTGGATCTATTAGCCACCAATATGCATACATCGACAGAACTATTGGTGTGGCAAGAGATGTTACTGCAAATGGATTGAAGAGGTTCCCCAGGAAAGAAAGACCCATTCCAATACGAAGTATTATCAAACCATTTCCAACCAAGACCAATGGTAGAGTTGACACCTCTTCCTCCAACCCAGCAGCCACTGGTTTCAGCACACAGAATTTGAGCAAACGTAAGTTCTTGAGATGTTTTGAATGCTGCTAAGTTGCCATTATAACTTTTACAATGGGTTTCTGACTCGTTCCATGGTTGGGGGCTTCTCATATAACCAAAGCACTTCCTCCTATTAGGTCCAAGAATCCAACTAGTAGGGCATGGTTCTGTTTCCAAAAGATTAAAACTATTGAACATCATAGCTCGCTTATAAAGCAATATAGATTATAAAGCGATATAGACTATAATGCAATCAAAATTAACAAGAACACCCTTCCGCATTTGACACAACGGAACATTATCAACATGCTCTTTACCAGCATACTGTCGAATAGAATGCACACTAATGCAGCTTATAAGCGAACAACATATTCAACACCTTTAATTTCAGTGGTATAACAGTACACTGATGATTTTAGGAGCATTAAGATTATTTGTTTCTAGAGACAAATTACATGCATCTTCTTGTGCCTTGCATAGCTCGGCTCATTTTTTTCCATCATATGTAACCAATCAATCAAGAATAGCATATTTTATGCATCTCAGACCTCAGCAGTCACAGTTCCAATTGTTCTACATACGTAACAAAAAATTGAATGCCTTGTTATAACTCTTAAACTCCATCACCTAAATGCATCGTCAGAGGTTTGAGAGAAGCATTTTTACTTTCAACGGTGAAAAAACTGTTGGAAAATTTAATAATAATTTTATTATATTAAATTTATTAATTGAATGGAAATTAGAAGTGGAGCTTTTTGGTAGAAAGATGTTTCTACTCATACGAAGAGTTGCAACCTTTGACTCTTCATGAATAGTCACATGCTTTCCAAAGAGGTATCTCACATTGTATAAATAGGGAAGCACGATATAATCACAAAATAACTTTTCATTGTTTTACATAATCATAAATATAGTGCACTAAATATTAGAGAGTCTCATTGAGTTCATATGAGAGAGTTTTCAACACAATCATGATTCATGGCGCCTTGTGATTTGGAGTGCTACTATTACAAGGACGGGATCGTTGTATCTTGGAAGACATGCGCCGATCAACCATGAGCTCCGTAGTGGGGCGTAAACTTGTCTTAAGGACAAAGTGTCCAACACTTGCCTCGATCGTATTTTCTAGGTTTTTCTAATCCATTATATCATGTTCATTTAATATTGGTTACTCATGTGCATGCATTATTATTGTGATATATAATTGCTGAATTATATCTTGATTTTCTATGTGATTTATTATAGCAATTAGACCCTAATTTTTCCAACAAAAAACACTTCATACCATCCTTCCAAAGGTACCACAATATACACTAAAAGGAAGGCTTTTTGGTCAACTCTTGTCTACAATCTACTCAAAATACCCATTTCCGCAAAGCGAAAAAAAGAATTTCTATAAACAATTAGGATTTCAAAAGTAAAATTTAGAACTTGAGCTGAAAAGGGTTACTCACACCTTTACTTTCTTCAGTTCCAGAAGCAACCAAATGCCTGCGAATCGACTCCTTATACACCTAAACAATGAGAGTGTAGCTTCAATAAGTGAATCCACAATTCAAAACATCTTAACAGATCAAATTAAATAGAAAAAAAAAATTTACAAAATTGAAAGAAAATTGAAGTACATTGAGCATCATACTTTCGTACTTACCCTATGTGAATCGCATGCACCCAGCAGAATGCAAACAATCAGAGGCGCAACCAATTGCACAGCAATCGGATTCCCTTCCATCAAACCCATTTCATAAACCCTAGAAAAAATGGTAAGTAGGTAAAATTTGAGGCCTTTCACTTCAGATCGTCGCCCCAACGCGGCAGCAAGGAAGCTGTAGGCAAATCACTTGTAGGCAAAATTTTACTTTTGGAAAAACTGAGGGCTGGATGGTTAAAATTAAGAATTTATTTACCCGCAGTTACATTTACTCGCATTTCATTCAATTTAGAGTAAACAGGCCAAACACCCTGCAGATGTACTTTGACTTTTGATGTCTCGCTTTTAACTTTTCTTTTGGAAAAATCATTTTTTAGTCAATTTGATGGAACTTTTTAGTCAATTTGATGGAAATTTGGATGATAGTACGCAGACATTTGGAAATTTGGAGTTTTGTAGTCAAATTGATGGAATTTTTTAGTCAATTTGAGGGAAATTTCCTAACCCCTTCCACCAAATTTATTTAATCACTTAATCTGGATTTTTAAAATTTAATCCAACGATTAAAGTTATTATAACTTTTAAAGAAACTTCTTATTTGTAACCGTTAGATTAAATTTTAAGAGTCTAAATTAATTAATTGGGTGAATTTGGTGAAAGAAATCCGAAAATGATCCCTTTTCAATTTGGATGATTGCACGCAGACTTAAGGGTGTATTCAATAGGGATTTTGAGGGATTTTAATTCTTTTAATGAATATAGGGGTATTCAATCATGATTTTAAGTGATTCTATGAAATTCAATGTATATTCAATTAAAATTTTAAGATAATTTATTAAAATCCTTAGAAATCCGGTGTATTCAATTAGGATTTTAAAGAAGTTTATAACATTTCAGGTGTATTCAATTAGAAATTGATTTTAAAGAATTTAATAAAGTTAGGGAATTAGAGAGATTTTATAATATATTTTAAGTATCCATAAATTTTATATCTCCACAAGAGATTTGAAAGGAATTATGAAATCTTTACAAATCAATTAAACTCTATAAAAATTTACGAATTTATAAATCTATTAAAATTCCTTAAATTCTCAATTGAAAACCCCCTTAATTTTAAAAAGCCGCCGGCCGTTTTTTTTTTTTTTTGTTTTTTTTTTTTGAGAGAATTACAAAGCCGTTGTTTTACGACTCTGAATCATGATTTTTTTATTATAAAAAAATCAACTTTTTCGTTAAAATAAGGTTCACTCTACTAAAAAATTCAACATTTTCTTCGAAATTTTTGTTGTGAGGTTTTTAAGAATTCGTGAATTATAACTGTCGTGATCAAATTTTGTTAGGCACTATAAAAAATTTAAAATAATTTATAATCAAATGATAAACGTATCTCCGTAATCATCGCAAAGAATACCAGAATTCCTAAAAAAAATGAAACTAGATAAAAAAAATACAGGAGTAGGTAGGTGAGACAGAAATTGGTAGGTGAAGTGTAGTAAATTGACCCCAAAAGAAAAGTTGGAGCAGGAATAACTCACAAATTAAAAGTAGAAGAAGGAGAAGGAGAGAGAGAGAGAGTAGGGAGAGAGAAATGGAAGGAATATACGGAGCAGTGATGGAGGAGATATGGCGGTACACGGGGCTGTCACCGACGGCCTTCTTCACAATCGCCGGGATGATGGTCGTGGTTTACAGAATAGTCACTGGCATGTTTGTGGATCCCGAAGACTTCAACCAGCCTCCGGTGGCGGCCACCATCAACACCGTCGATCCTATTTCCAAATCCAATTTTGTGAATAAATACTTCAATTCCACGGGGGCGGCGAGAGGCTCGTCGGTACAAATGGGAGACATGACGGAGGAGCAGCTGAGAGAGTACGGCGGGTCTGACCCCAACAAGCCGCTGCTTATTGCCATCAGAGCTCAGATCTACGACGTCTCTTCCTCCAGGTACTTTTCCTGCTTCTTTTCCCTTCTTTGATTTTCCCATAATTGAAATTTTCAAGAAAAAAATCATTGCTATTCAAAACCGATTTTTACTTTTTTTTCACTTTTTTTTGTTAATTTTTGTCCATTATGAGTTGGAGATGTTAAACCATGTAATTAAATTTAAAGATAGAAGCAAGTTTTAACCGATATGTCAATTATATGTGAATTGATATATGAGTTTTTATATGTCAAATTTTACCTATAAGAAAAAATGTTGTCTAATAAATTTTAATTTGGGATATGTTATCTATACACTTTATTTTACTTTTTCCACACCTCTTGATAATTTATATCGATTGATCTTCCTCAATTTATCCAATCTAACAGTCAAAAATTAAAAAGATACGTGAAAAGTAAAATGAGAGATGTGAATATTACATCCTTTAATTATTTTTTATGTGAGTTTTATTAATGCATTAATTATAAATCTTAAAATTTTATTTTAATTGATTTCTTTTAAAATGGATCATACAAATATTATTTAAAACAAAAAAAACGTATCGGTTGAAAAAAAGAAAAACATCTGACATTGTTACGTTAACTATCAAATTAACATTTGACATTTATCTCTTGACATATCATTTAGAGATGCTTTAATGTTCTTCAACTCATTCAATTTGGCGATTGAAAATTGAGACTTGAGAAAAAAAAATTGAGTGAAGTATGCAACTATACATATGTTACTATTATGCTGGTGAAAACATGTGCTTAATTTTGATGAAATTTCTTAACAGAATTAAAGTCAATGACCAATGCTATGCATGTTGTCAACAGAGTGATTTTTAAGAGAGATTTTTTAGTGTCGGCAGCACGACTTGGTATACTAAGTATAATAATGCAATTGGTATACTTGCTTGATGTCCAATTAATTGTTTTACGACACTTGTTGTATAATCCAATTAATTATTTTATGACATTTATTGTATCGGACCATATTCCCGACTCATCGAAGGATTTCTCAATTTGTATACTCGCTTGATGTCCTCTGCGCTCCTCATTTTGTTTATATTGATTCTGCTTTGATTGACTCGAATTCTATGACGAAGGAAAGGGAAGGAGTGCACAAGGATAAAACGAAACGTGAAAATCACTTTCCTTTGTCAAACTCGGACAAATTTTATGGACTTCAAATTTGAGTTTCTAAAACTACAATTTGTTCAAAATTTAGCGGCCAAATTGGTTGCTCAAATTTCGGTGCAAATTAAAATCATAATTTGATGCATCTTACAATACAACATGCAATGCAGGAACTTCTACGGACCAGGTGGACCGTACGCCATGTTTGCTGGAAGGGAAGTTAGCAGAGCGCTGGCTCTTCTGTCTTTTAAACCCCAAGACATAAACGGCAACCTCGAAGGTCTCGGGCCTGATGAACTTGGCATATTACAGGACTGGGAAGAGAAGTTCATCGAAAAATATGACAAGGTCGGGCGGCTTGTAACAGAGCTGAGGATGAATTCTGATGAGTAAACCGAGGACGGTGGAGATGAAGCTCAACCGGAGGCAAATGGACAGGCACAACAGAACCAACCTTATGCAGTGGTCGTTGATACTTGTTGGATTATGTCCCGTTGAATCCCCAACATTGGGATGATGGATTGCTAGGGTTTCCTTCTTTTCCTAATCCTGTATGTGCATAGTATATGTATCACTTGTTAGTTATACGATGCAGCAAAATGTCACCGAGAAATTATTGTAGTAGATGTTTACAGTGGAAATTCATGTTAGCGGTTATAGTTGCCATGATGTTTCCGGCAATCAAGTTAGGGTTTAGTTTATGAAATATGGAGTTTAACAGAATGAATTGAGGCCTTGCCTCCAAATAAAAGACAACATAATGGACGCTTTCTTTTGTACAAACACAAGACATGGAACTTTCACGTTAATCAAGCCAAACGAATAAACGTAAGGTAGAAGACATGTACCTGATAGCACCCATTGCCTATATAGACGTCAAAATAGTACTGGTTATGTCCGTCAAACTTTGGCTCATTCCACTGACTAACTTCCAGTATTGTTCAGGCATCAATTGTTGAACGAAGGCACTGCAGTAGAAGAATCTGATGGCAATTCCCTGGGCCCTGTTGGCTTGTGCATGTAAACTCCACAATTCCTGCAATTCCAGAACTATCACAGATAGAATTTATCTAAACTAAGAATCACTTCAACTGTTGGTCATATGCTCTATCAATTTAATTTGTCTCCGCATTTGACAGTTTTCCGCCTTCACTCAATAAACTACAATTATCATCCACCTCCGCCATCTTTCAACTTCGGCTAAAATTCCCAAGCGTACAGAGTTTCCCCTCTGTATCTATATCACTGATCCACCAATCCTCACACAATTGTAATAACTTAACAAGCTACAACCAAATAAAAATGGGTACGAGCTAAAGATAAAACGGGAAGCAATTCAACAGCGAAGAGTAAAAAGGTCGTACCCAGTGCACAAGGCTCCCGCTTTACGCAGGGTCTGGGAGAGGTGAATGTCGGCTAGCCTTACCCCATTTATGGAGAGGCTGCTCCCAAGTCTCGAACCCGAGACCTACCGCTCATGGGCGAAGACACTTGCCATCACACCAACAGCGAAGAATAAAAATGAAAATAGGAGACAACATATCAAGCATAGATAGATCACACAACCACCTTAAAAGTTACACACTTGATCATCAGAAACTAACAAGAACTTTGGTTTTATCTGTACTAGTAGAAAAGCACTTTGGTTTATGCATACAAAGATACATCAGTAAAAAATTTCTATATACGATACAGAACCGCCATTGAAGCGTTCCAATAATTGTAATCTATCTACACAAACAAAGTACGTAATAGTTGAGAGGAACAAACAATAATGAATCAAGCATAGATAGATTATACAAATACTTTGAATGAGACATACTTTGTCCTCAAAAACTGGTAAGAACTTTGATTTTATTTGCACGTAACTGTGGTGATTTGAGCAAGAGGACATGTAATTACAATTAGCAAAAGGTTAGCTAGGGACTTTGGTGGCTGGCTCCGACTGCTTCTCTGTATGTACTTTGGCTTTTCGAATGGATCTCATGGCTTCTTCAAATGATTTCTGAATGAAAAGGAAAAGCATGTCAGTGACACAATGTTGGAAAGATTCATTCGAAGTTATACGACCATCACAGGACATTCCTCAAGGAAGAAAGAAGGGATTTAGAATTCAGGATAGAAAAGAAAAAAAACTTCCCACAGACATCTCTGGTCTCACCAAGACGAGGCCTAAAATCAAATCAGCCTAAAGTAGCTCAAACATGTCACTAAAAAAGGAGTCCTTCGATGCTTGACTGGAGCTCATATTAGAAAATTATATTCGTGCGTATCTCTAGTTTTACTTTTGGCATTTGTATTTTACATTACACAACAGTACATAAAAAGCACTCTAAATGACAATAATCAAACTTTCTTCAGTTTCTAGGAAGGAATCACATAGCTTTGCCCGAAGAAATCATCTAATAATTCCAAATATTTACAGCCTTAAGATAATTTTAGGCTCAATTTCTATAAACATACAAACGACGGATCCACCCACAGGATTATATAAGCAAAAATTAGTGAAAGCGTGAACTGAGAAACAAAAGTCCAGTGTGAAGAGGGAAACTAAAGAGCAATGTACCTCATTATTATGCATCTTCCAGAAGGCATCCCAGCCCAAATTAACAACTGCCATGCCACCTAAGAAAGCCCTGCATAAAATTCATATACCAATGAACCATTTCCAAGGAGAGAATTTAGCCAACATCCTACATTGATTATCCAAATTTCGATAGGGGCACGCTAAATGTAATTCCATGTTCGCATCATCAGGTAAAATGTATGTTTTTTACAGCATCGAATTAACTAGAATCGAAAACAGCAGGCCAAGTGAGCCAACATCTAACATTGAGCTTAATCCGTGAACATGAACGGAATCGGAAAAATGCAGCTAACCCTAACTTCCATAACAGGTCAGGTAATTGCAACATGTTCAGCAATTAAGCAATTAACAGTAACTGGAAAGCAAACCCAATTCCAAATGAATGTAAAAATCAACCAAGGAAATTTATAGACAAGTGAGATGAGAGAAAGTTTATCTTACCCTGCTACGGAGACATTGAGAAGGAAAGCGCGGGTCGTGACATATCGGAGTAAATTCTCAAAGGCGGAGGAAGCTCTGTTGGCGGCTCCAGAACCGCCACCTCCTCTTCTGTAACTGTAAGTATTACTTCTACTGTATCCATAACCGTAACTGCGAGTGTAGGTATTGTAATTGCTGTGGGGGCGGCGAGAGCTCTGGAAATTGTAGTCGGCGCGCTTGCGATCGTCGGTGAGGACCTGGTAGGCCTCGGATACCTGCTTGAATCGGACGGTGGCGCTGTCTCTCTCCGCCTTGGGGGAAGCGGAATGCTTGTCTGGGTGCAGCTTCACCGCCAGCTTCCTGAACGCTTCCTTGATTTCGGCTTTGCTCGCGTTCCTCGTCAGCCCCAAAGCAAGTGAATGGGGCCGGTGCGCGGCGAACGGAACGGTTCATCGTGATCCATAATTTCGTTATTTGATAGATTATCTCGATCGAACGATCGTCTATTTCGTAATTAGGGTTTCAATTTTTTGATTGGAATTGGGAATTGGGAATTGGGAATTAGGAATTGAGGAGTTAGGGTTTATCAATGCGTTTTTGTCTTGGAGAATGAAGGGTTGGGTTATTCAACGTCGTGGCATCGCCATAGCCGCTTCCCTTTCTTCAAAGTTTTGCAGTTCGCAATTGATATTTCAGCTGAAAATACTACTTTCCCCATTATACCCTGCCGAACTCAGATAAAGGTTGAATTACTCATGTGACCCCCAAAATTGTATTCAGTTTTTTTTTTTAAGAAAACTGGTGGCAAGTTACGGTTATTTACACATTTTAAAGGCTGGAAAATACTCAAATAAGCATTTCATCATTCCCTGGTCATAAGTTTGGCTTCCACACCAACGGTTTCGAACTCAAGACATCCAATTTTTAATTTGAAGGAAGCTTCGCTATCCGTCATTTACTATTGGATCACCAGCTCGTGGTTATTGTATTCATATTTCACATTTCCTTGTCTATATCAAGTAGCAATATCAATTAAATACACCAAGTAGTTAAAATTTTAGGAAAGATCCATCATAATCCACCTAGTCCGGAATCCGAGCTGTTGAAATTTGATCTAACAGCTACAAACAAGGTGTCTTTTTAAAAGTGTTAATAACTATAGCCATTTGATCAAATTTCAACGGTTCGAATTCCATACTAGGTGGATTAGCTGGAAAAGGATCTGGAGATGATCTCTTTCCAAAATTTTAAAACATGATTTGGTGAAGAAAGTGAGTTATTATGCTTTGCACTCCCATGGATTGGTGTTGTAACACATTAATCCATATCTTTTCCCCTTTTTTTTATAAAGTGACAAATTGTTAATACCATATTTCTCTGCATTCATCAAATTATTGATGATAACTGCTTTAGAATTTATCGAGTTTACTTTTTTATCAATGGATTTCAGCTTATGCTTAACAAGTTATCGAATTCATAATGATAATGCATTGTGAAATTTTTATATTAAAAGCAAGAGAAAATTGTAGCAATGACTTATCAACTTTAATCCAATTAGAGTAATGATCTCTTAACTAAAAATTCGTGATCATTGGTTCCTTAACAAGTCAAAATGTACAATGTTGATTTTTTTCGTCAATTCCATCAAAACTTTCGTCAAAATGAATCACTTATCTCATATGTGAGGCAAGATAATGGGAAAATATAGAAAACCAAACGAGAAAATTGTAGCAATAATCATTTAACTTCAATCCAATTGGAGCAGTAGTCTTTCAACTTTAACCCAATTAGAGTAATGGTCCCTCAACTTTAACTCAATTGTAACAATGGTCTTTCCACCGTGACTCACTTTGACTGAAGTTATAACGGAGTTGACAAAAAGAACAATAACTATATGTTTTGATGAGTTTAAGAGACTAATGGTCACGAGTTTTTAATTAATGAACTATTTCTCTAATTTGATTCAAGTTAAGAGATGATTGCTATAATTTCCTCTAAAAGCAAAACCTAACATTTCAAGATTTACTGACAAACAAAGGGACCAATGTATCAAGCTGTAACCATGAAAGTAACTTTTGCCAAAGTTTAGAACATAGGGGCCAAAGAGTTACAAGCCTCGAACTACGAGGGTGCAAACTGTAATTAAAATTTATTCAAAGGTCAAAAGGTAATCTTTCTTTTGATCAAAAGGTCAAAAGGTAATCTAATCAACGCAAAAGTGCAGGTCCCTCTTCTCCCCCAATCGACTCGGACCCGGTTAGCTCTCGTCATTTTTCACTTTCCCAGCGACGGAACAGAACCGAAGAGTCGGATTGTTCATCTCCTCTACCACCGACGAACCGGCGTACCCGGTATGAATCTTGTTTTCCGATTTGTGTTTATTTTTTTCATAAATTGTCTCCCTTTCGATTTCCATTTACCAGATTTTTACGGTAAAATCTTACTTCTTTAGTTTTTGTGTGTGTTATATTTGTTGATTTCTTCTCTGAAACCGAGGCCTGAATCTCAAATTTTGTGCTCGAAATCCGATTATTCTCTGTGATGATTGATTTATGTGTCGAATTCGTCGAGTTTGTTACTCTTAGTTTCAATTTTAGCATTTGAATAGTAGTTGCTAATTGTACAAAGGGAAATGATTTTCACGAGATTTGGCGCAACGGAAATGTTGTTCCTTTGTGACCGAAATGTAACGGGTTCAAGTCGTGGAAACAGCCTCTTTGCAAAGCAAGGTAAGGCTGCGTACGACAGATGTCTCCCCTCCCCGACCCTCCCAAAGCAGGAGCCTTGTTGGCTTGGCGTCGCCCATTTTACTCCCTACAAAGGCCAGAAATGAACTTGATTATGCGTGCACTGAGGAAAAGGGTGTGCGGAAATCACTTACCTCATAAATATTGTGAGCAGCGTTGCCCCCCAGAACATTTATCTCCCTCACATTGTGTTTGTTGGATACTTCTTAATAGAAGAGTTTTTGTGACTTGTTGACATATATATGGGATTGCAAATGTGGTCTGTTTAGCACATTCCTTGACTCAGATATTCTCTTTTTTTGGTTCTAATACTTACGGGTACTGGGTACAGATCATTTGTGTCACCGGAGAAAAAGATGAAGGGCCAAAGCAGCTATGCTCCACCTGCTTACGTTCCGTTGGGAATGTCGGATTCTGAATCAGCGATTGTGTTGTGCAGTGAAGACCCTCCCATGCAGCAAAGCAGCGGTGATGGGCCCAAACAATGGTCTTCTGGAATCTGCGCATGCTGTGACGATATGCAGAGCTGTACGCTATTTTTTGCCTTGTGACCTTGATTTATCAGGAGGAAAAATTAAGAAGGTGCATCTTGAGTAGGGAAAACCAAAAGTAGCTCGTTCTCAACTAACCCCATACAATACCATATGCTCAGCTCTTAGTTTTTATGCGTTAATGTACTCTGAGTACCTCTTCATTATGTGGAGGACCTCTTTTTAGTCTGAATTCGTGACTGGTATTCATTTTGTGTAGTTAGAAGCCATTGCAATATCTGAATTTTCAGCAGGTAACCGTGCCCAGATATGTTTTAAGATCAAACAGTAATATATTGTCCGATAAAACTTGACGAGAACTGTAGGAATCATTATAGGATTAGAATGACTTCAAGTTATGAAGTGTACATTAATAGAATGCCCCCTTGAATTTTTCATGGACAAAATTTGGATAAAGATTATCAATAAGATCGATATATTACTAAGTACTTTAAATCTCATTTTAAAGACGTAATATCCAGTCTGGTGTGAGGTAAAGCATTGGCTGCTGGTATATAGTTAGTGGTGAATAAATAGATGATAATGTTCTTAAGACGTTAGAGGAGGTACATGGGCAGAGGATAATCTGACTTGTTTTATTTTTGTTTATCATGATAAGTCGCAACATTTGGTCGTTAGGTACCAACCGTTGCTATATATGTTCGTAACAGTAGGAAGAGTCTCATCCATCATGTCTCCAAATTATGACTTTCAAAACAATAACGACCATCTAATTGCTGATTTTTTTTTTTACAGGTTGTGTAGGTTTGTTTTGTCCTTGCTTTCTGTTCGGAAAGAATGCAGAATTTCTGGGTTCTGGGACATTATTAGGATCATGCATGACTCATTTTATTTTGTGGGCACTGGTTAATACTGTCTGCTGCTTATTGACTGAGGGTCTGTTTTTGGGCATACCGGGATGCTTTGTTGCATGTTATGCTTGTGGCTACCGCAGTGCCCTAAGAACAAAGTATAATCTTCAGGTATAACATTGATTATCAATTTTACAGTCTTAAAGTCTGTTAACTGTTAAGAGTAGAAAATTTTTAATTTTGTGTTTTTATTCTCTCGGTTCCTTCTTGATTTTTGTTTTACTTTTTATCTGAGTTTCAATATGCTTTTGACGGTTTGATGGTTACTACAAAATATGGTTGATTATTGTAGCCGTTGGGCCTGACATAGTGGTTAAGTGCTTTGATACCATGTTAAAATTTGAGCATCCAACGCAAAACCAAGTGGCAATTCATGCCTGTGCATCACAATATGTAAGGCTTACCACTACAGGATAAAAAATAAAATAAATGGTTCTTCATTTCATTTGTCATGCTAGGCTTCGAGTTGCTGATGCGGGATTATATTATCATCAAGGGAAAGATGTAATTATCATTTGTGTGGTAAGGGAATGTGACTTTATATAGGGCTCAATGGCGGAACATAATTTTGATTACTTTGATATAATATGTTTGGGGGAGGTCATGAACTACTCGAAACTTTTTGTGTGACAACTGCTTAAGTTTATTTTATTACTCCACTTGGGCTTATCATATAATCTAGGGTTTTTGTCAGAATAGTTGGAATGCCATGCTGTGGAGGAATAATGCTTGTCTATGAATTTTGTAGGAAGCGCCGTGTGGAGACTTTGTCACTCATTTTTTCTGCCATCTGTGTGCCATTTGTCAAGAGTACCGAGAGATCCGTGAAAAGTCTGATTCCGGCCCTCCTGACCTGACTCTGGCTGTAGTTACAGCCCCGTCAGTCCAGACAATGGAACCAGGTCTCCAAATGTAAACCACTGTTTTAGTACTCCTGTAGGATCAGCATTTGGTTTACGTTATACAACCTTCTTCCTGCCCTTAAATGGATAATATTATCGAAGCCTTCCACGGTTTGTTTTTATTTTTACTTAAGTTCTTTGGTCTCTACCAGGGTTGATTTTATTATGTTATCCGCACGATGTACTTTTCTCATTCCTTCTTTTATATGTGAAAATGGCCCTCTTCTACCTCATTTATGAGCATGATAGCATTTGCATCATTCTGTTGGTTGACTCCAGAAAGGTTAGTTGCTTCCAAGTTTGAAGTGATCACTGCGGGCTCTCTCGTGGATGCGGTTGCTACAGGTATTACTTCTTTATATCGATCCTGTAAAGTGCTATATCTCCATTCGTTTTTCGTTGTCTAATTCTTTGCTCGAGTGTCACTGTGGATTGGAACACAGCTAAACTTTGAACCGTACTGCCAGGTTACAACTTACACCATCTTTGTCTGCTGCTTTCATACCTCTTCGTTATTCTCCGAGGATTCTCGTCTGAGGTTTCCTTCCTCAACTTAGCTTCAGTTGGAGAGATTACGAGCAACAACCGATGGCTCGTATTTTGCCGCATTTGCGGTTTATTACACTTTCCTTAAGTCGGAAGTTTCGGTTGGCTTCGTGTTCGGATTCCGAATAGGGTTTCAAATTTGGGATCAACTTTGTGTCGTTTCAATCCTGCCATCCCATCCCCATCCTCCTATCATTGCCTTTTTGCTTTCAATCTTTTCGTTTTCGTTTTGCTTTGCACTGGTGCTGCTTTTATTACCTAGCAGCACTGGACTAGTTTTGTCATGGAGGATTCTCGCTGGATCATTTCTGTGAGGATTTTGGGGATCTTTCTTTAATCACATCCGTTCATCGTACATCGTGTGGTCAGAAATCATGTTAAAATTTTATATTTAAAATTGAATATAAACAGTATCTGACAAAAACTGATCACACGATGTACGATGAACGAATGTGATTGGAGGATCCGGCGAGGATCTTCTCTCCTATTTTTGGACCTAGATCATCGAACCCCTCGAACCAAACCGCCCGATAGTAATTCAGTTTCTTCTCCCATTTTAACTCAAACCGAACTAAATTACACAGCTGAACGGTTGATTGGTTTGATTGTAGTTTGAGGTTAAATTTGATTCGAATTGAACCGTGTGTGCTCCTCGTAACAGTGAGAAATCTTCCACGCACGCATAAGCAACGTCGTGTAACACACCTCATGTATCTGTATGATTCTGTAGACAAATTTGAAGTGGCCGAAACGCGTAGTGGCTTCGGAGAATCCACTTTCTGCCCATAACACTATCTGCTATGCTTTTAGCTTCCAACTTTTGACGTGGTCGGTGATTCGCGGCTTTAGCAAGGACACTTCATTCTTTTGCCTTGCTACCCACACCTATGTACCCCATCTCCTACGTGAACACGTCATCGGTTTAGTTTTCAAGTATTTAGTAGATTTTATGTGTTGCTTCGACAATTTGTTTGTGTCGCAATAACGATTTGTGTGGCCTCGCCGTTTGCGATGATTTTATGTGAGGCACTGATGTACCATGTAGGGCTGGTTCGATATGAGATACCGTACCAAAAACGGCATATTGAGTCCCAAACCGTTTATTTTCGGAATGAAAATCTGATAACCGATCCCAAACTAAAATTTCGATATTCCGAAGTTCGGGATTCCTAAATATTTTCGGTATTTCGAGATTTTCCGAAACCAAACCGAACCTGCATCAAAATTTAACATCCCAATTTGAAATCAAAGATTCATGGACCTCCCACTCCCCTGCCAGCCCACACGGCCACACCTCGTCCCAGATTCGTCGACCTCCCCACGCCCATCTCCATCCCTCTCATTCCTGGGTTTGTCTTTGCTGCCTTCGGGAGTCGGAGAGCTTTGCGACGTGCATCGAACGTAATCAGGTACCCATCCTCGTCGATGTGTGAGCTTTTCCATGTTTTGCCGAACGAAATCGCCATCGGAGGGCTACTCTGCTTTGCAGCGATGGCGCCGCTTCGTAGAATTCTGATGCCATGACATCGATGTGTGGTTGTTTCCAAATCCTAAATTCGTGAAGCTTTCTGGATCTGAAACAAGAAAAAAACAAAAAACAAAAAACAAAAAAGAGAGAAGCTACAGAGTTGGGCTTGCTTCCTTCTGTGCATTTGAGGGAGTCGGTGGAGGGAGAGAAGGGATAGAGGATGGCTGTCAGTGGGAGTGGGAAGATGGCAGACAATGATGCTATCAAGAAATAAAAAAAGAAGAAGAAATGAATGGTAAGTGAAGATGGCAGACAAGGGGAGAATAAAAAAAGAAAAAGGTGAAGAAGAAAGATATCTATTGGATAGAGGAACGGACCGAAAGCCAAAATATTTCGGGATTTCAGGAATACCGAAAAAATGATAGTGGAAAAATCAATCCCATATCGAATGCTTCGGTATTTTTCAGGATGGGATTACCAAATTTCGGGATGGTTTTGGTTTGGAATTTTTGAAATTTTTTTCCAGCCCTCCCATATGGCAAGCCCTTGTACTTGATTGTTCTTAGTGATGAAAAACTATCGCTTTTTGGAAAAAAAAAAAAAACTTTTTACATGATAAAAAAAAGTTTAAGTTATCAAATTTGTTCCACATTTTCCGGGTTAAACGGCCTTTACCATAAAATGCACATATATCCAATGTTTGAAAAATCAAAAAAATTATAAAAAAATATGGCTCATATCGGAGAAAATCTTAAATTTCGAATAAAATCGATAGATTTTGTCGACTTATCGGTTTAAATATCGACAAAATTGCCATATGAGAAAATTTTCATCATTTTCATCGAAGACAATCAATATCAATATATTTATCGATATTTCCACAAATGTGCACATAGATAGTTCCTCCGATACCAATATTATAAACACCGCATACATCTCACTTTTTACGAATCAATTTATTTTAACCATTTAAATTTTATAATCGAAGTTGTGTAATTATTTAATTTTCATCTGAGGATCATTCATACAAAAAATCATTTGATTAAAAAACATTTATAGCTTCAAATATAAACAAATCAATTTTAATAGTTAAGCGAGAAAAGAATATGGACAAGATTGTCTGCCCCTCAATTCCGGTGCCTTCCCGTGCCCTCTTGTTTGTGTGGTCACGGTTAAGCCATGTTAACATTTTATATTACTATTCATTTTTATCTTATTATCTCTATAAAAAAAATAATATAAAATGTTGACATGGCTTAACCGTGATTACACAAAACAGAATAACACAGATGGCACTAGAAGTGGGAGGGCACACAATCCTTGTCCAAAGAATATGACCCGCATAAAGCCACTTGATTCTTCCCTTTACTTTCAGAGTGATTAAACTTTCATTTCTTTCCAAAACTGACTCAATTATGTTAAAGAAAGGAGTATACTATCTGTGTACTTTCCATAAGTGGCAGGCTCAATTATATCGAAGAGAAAGGTTTATAATATATGAGTACAGATCCTCTTTGAATCTAAAAAAAGGGAGCCTAAGGATCAAATAATCTGAATCGTTGAAATTTGATTCAACGGTTACAAACAGGAGACCTCTCTAAAAGTTTTAATAATTGTAACCGTTGGATCAAATTTTAATGGTCCGGATTATTTGATCCTTAGGCTTCCCTTTTTAGATCTGTACTCATTATATACAAGCCCTATATTCAATGGAATCTCCAGATTGAGCTTCAACGATCCAAACAGTTTATTTTTTCAAGTTGCACTTTGTAGGTCATCTTTGCAAAATATTAGTCAAATCGAAAATTTTTGAGACATCTAATTGAGTTCAAAGAAATTGACAACCACTATAATATAAGAAACATTGAAATTTTATTATGACAATCAAATGAGTAAATGGTTTCGGATTAAATTATTTTTTGTAAGAATAATCTATGAATGAAGACTTAAAAAGTAACTGTTTGGATCATTAAAGTTCGACGTATAATATGCCTCACAACTAGTCTCATTTTTTTAGCAAAAAATGATAATCTATTTGGATAAAGGCTCTGATATCCTATATATGGAAGAAAAGAGATCATATCTGGATCTCTTCCATCAAGATCATCGGATCAAGTGATCCGGATCTTTAAAATTTCATCTAATAATAAAAAATTATTATAACTTTTAAGAGATCAAAACAAATGAACCGTTGGATGAAATTTTAAAGATCTAGAGCATTTGATTTGATGATCTTAGTAGAAGAGATCCGCGAAAGAAAAAGGCAAATAAAGATTGTCATAAACTTTTGGATTTTGGTTTTTGCCTGCCAATTAATAAGAACCTTTTTTGTGTGTGTGATTATTCAAGAATATCCTTAGAATTCGAAAAGTAAACTTTATGAATGCCACCAAATTATACACATTTCAAATTTTCCAAAAAAAATAATTATACACATTTCAATTTCACCTCTAAACTTTTAACCCCTGTCAGTGTTCTCTCGCTATTTTGTATGAAGTTATTTGTCATCAAATTTAGGGTTATTTTTGTCAATATTGTAGGGTACGAGTCTTTCAGTTTGGTTCAAATGTGCCCTTTCTTGTAAATCAAGTATCAAAAACTCCAAATGTTTACCAATTTTCTTTGTTAATAGAGTATTTCGTTGACGTATAAGGCCCTTAAAAATTGGTTGTGATGATACATATTGACGGTTAGGAAGACATTGACACAAATTAAAAAAATTTATCGGGTATCAAAACCAAATTTAAAATTTCGAGAGTAAAGTGGAATAAGATCAAAGTTCAGGGATCAATGTTTAACTTTTTTTTTTTTTTTCTAAATTAAAATTTTAACTTCTAAAGTTCTAATATATAATTTCTCTCCTAATATATAATCTCTCTCTCCCACTCAATATAGAACAACTCATACACACAGAGAGGGAAGTGAGAGAGAGAGAGAGAGAAGCGAAGAGGAGAGAGAGAGGGAATGGGAATGGGATTGCTGGGGAGCTCAACAATCCCATTGGGAGTGGGAATGGGAGGAGTAGTGGGCGAGCATTGCTGGGAATGGGGGAGAAAGTACTTGAAGTACGAACTCTGCAGCGTGAAGGACGGCATGTCGTTGGCGCTGGGTGTAATCAGCGTACTCAGTTGGGGTGTCGCTGAGGTTCCCCAAATCATCACCAACTACAAGGCCAAATCCAGTCAAGGCCTCTCTCTTGCTTTCTTGATCACTTGGATTATCGGGTAATATTCTAATAATCTACTCTAATTTACGGAAAATGGGTTTATGGTGTAGGATTTAAGAGTGGGAGTACAGTGCCCTAACCAACTAGCGTAACGCACATCTGTTTAATAGTTACGTCAATGTCATTCGTATATTTCGAACATGAAAACTCGGTTGCATGCATAAATATTCTTGACCACTTGAGTTATAAGCGCTTTTGCCAAACTATACTATCCAATGCAATCTTGAAGTTCTTGAAGTTTATTTCTTTGGCCAAATGACAAACGTTCAATGTGTTTTTCTACAATTTTCGCCTTCGTACGTCCTTGCGCTTTTGATATTGATGTAAGATTAATTGCTTTGGAATAGTCCAAAGAGTATCTCACTCTCACCAATCCATTTGTTCTTGATGATTTTGTGTACATTTTAAAATTTTAAAATGTGTTGGATCATTCTTTTTGTTATCAAACCGGAATTTCAATTTGTGATTTGGACCTGTAACTAATTTTATATCAAATTCTTTTGCAGGGACCTGTTTAACCTTTTTGGCTGCCTGTTAGAACCAGCTACTGTGAGTGTCGTTTACTGTTTCATTGTTTTCATAGCTTTCGAAACTTTGTTTAAGGTTTTTAGCTTTTATTTATTGTTTGTGTGTAAATGTATGATGTATGATTTGCGATGATTTTGTGTCAACTTTATGACCAAAGCGCATTTGTAGAGGAGACATGTCTCTAGTATTTGTTAGTACTTTGCGTTAGACATGTCTTCTTTAGTCTGTCAGTTTAAATCATCGTAATATAGAACGCTAAGCTAACCCCTAATGTAAGAGTATTAGTTTCGTTAATTGCTGATGGGAAGACCAATACTTGTGACATGGCTTCCAAGAAGACGACATTTTGTTTTCCTTCCCATTGTTGTCATTTGTGTATGAAGTATGCTTATAGTATAGATTACTTGTGGCGTTGTGTAATGCACGCTTATTTGAGAAGTTTATATTTTGGGGGGGAAAAGGCTCTGGAAATGTTGTATGATGGAAATTCCTTGGGTTATATGGGTGGAAAGGAATAGGAGGGCTTTTAGAATGTGCTTGGAGAGGAGGTGGACTGGATGCATACGACCTTTATAGATTTTGTGCCCGGAGTATTTTTGAGAATGTTCTCCTTATCTTGATCCATGTTCCATGTATAAAGTCTGTTTTTATGTACAAGTAGGAGTAGAGTTGCTCACAAATTTTGACCATGATGCCTATTAGGATTTTTTTTTTTTGTTTTATTGCTTCCCCAAGATGTTATGGTCATAATCTCAGTTTAAGATACGCCATTTTTGTATAAACATTTCTTTCACGAGGAAAAATTATTGGTGACTAACTGCCTTTGTATACTTTCTTATGCAGCTTCCAACACAGTACTATACAGCAATTGTAAGAATGTTGACTCAAGCTGCACTTTGATATCTAAACAACACAGGTTTTTTTATTTAAATTTACTTCATGTCATTAACAAATAAGTTGATGCAATCTTTCTCTGTTTTCTTGGTATGCAGTTGTATTTAACAACCACATTGGTTCTTTCTGTACAGACCATATACTATGGTTATGTATATCCTCGTCTTAATAATTTGAGACAGAAAAAGGTTAGATTCTATGTCCTCGTCTCCTCTTATATAATGTGCATGCTCTTTACTCTTTTGACACTCATGCATGTTTTCTTTCAAGTTTATAACTTACGGATTAGAGAGATATTCAAGTTCGTCTCAGAGAGACTTGAATATCTCCTAGTCCCTGAAGTATAAAACAGTATCATATAACTGGAGCACTTAATTTACTTATAACCGTTACATTTGCTTATTGAACTACTTTCTGCTTTAGGTTTCTTTTTTCCTTTTTACAGTCATACATAGAGTATGCGTAATGCTTATATCAAAAAGCAAGTGAATACTGCTAATGCACTTATCTGTAATTTAGGGTTCCAAGACTAATCCGGCTGAGGTTCCAGGAAAAGCTAGTGGCAGGGTTAATGTGATTGACACCCCCTCTGCAGGAAATGAATGGACTTCACCCATTCTTTGTCCCAATATTTCTCCTGGACGAGAATCATACTACATGTAATTGATTTTTCCATTCACATTGACAAATTATTATCAATTATTCTCTTACAGTCTTGCTTTTTATAATTTAACTGATGAAGAATTCGATTGGATCACCAAAGTTCTATATGCATTTTCTCAAGTGTGTCCTTTGTTAAATTTCAGCCAAAACATGGTTCTGCCTAAAAATGCAGATACCAGCCGTTGACAGAAAAATTACTGCTGTGGATTGTCACAGATCTAATAAGTTTCTCTGATTGGGTCATCTAGGCTATTTTAATTTGCGCATTCAATAACTCGTGTATGCCTTTTGACTGCTTGTGCTCGAGACTTGGAGATATTCAAGCCTCTCTGATTTTTATCATAGAGCTTTTGATCAGTTGCTCACCCTTGCTACATATGTAAGCTTGAAATTGTGAAACAAAATGTTGCTAGCTGAAATAGTTGGTAACATTTTTACAGAACGTCTGAAACTATAATCAGATGGTTTCTGACAGAATTTTAATCTGCACAGTGCAGTGATCTATCTAATTTTCATTGTTGACAATCGTGATCATGTAATTGGATATCTGTTTTCTTGGAAATTCATCAGATCGGCAAGATCTTTATCAAGGAGTCACACCCCTTCAGAAGGATTTCATGCAGCACAAAGAAAAATTCTTCCATTTAATCGTAATCGAAATCCAAATGAAGAGCCCTTGCTTGGTGCACTTGCATCTACACAGTCTGCACCATCTAATAATGTCAAGACTACGCTGTGTGTGGTGAGCTCTACATTGCTGATTGTATAATTATATTCTGTTGTTCTAGCATTTGATCTTCCGATGTAAACTTTTGTCTCTTCTACTTTAGGTCTCGCTGATGACCCTCTTTTGCACTTTTAATCAACGATCAGTTGATTTAATTGTTGACAATCCAAATCGAGGAGTAGTGATGCAAGTAGGAAGAAGGCTGTTGCAGGTAGTTGACATTCCAAAGTATTAGTTTACTTCACTTTTATTACTCTTAAGATTTTATATATAAAACTGGTTAGGCAGCAGTATTATTGTTGCACAGACCAGTAGTGTTTACCGTTAACCAGTTTTCGCTTTCAGTTGCCTCTTAACTTTTAAGCTATTGGATAAGTGGCCTATTAGTTGAAATGTTGGGTAAAAGAGTTGGAATATCTTTTATCATCATTATCCGATTATCATCATCATTATTGTTCTCAACTTTTGAGTTTGTTCTTTTCTGGTGAAACGCTATTTGAATTTCAGGTAAATAGTGGGCTGTTGCGAGAAATGGGTACTAAACATAGCAGTGGGATAGGAAGTTTCCTTGGTTGGGGAATGGCAGTTATTTACATTGGTGGACGGTTTCCCCAAATTTACTTAAATGTGAGTAGTACCCTTCGAAGTAGTCAACTTCTTTCGTGAGTAGTACCCTTTATTATAGAATATGGGCATTCACCTTCTGTCTCAGTTGTCTGAGCAATGTTAACTTCTGATTCTTGATCAATTTTTTTGCAGATCCGCAAGGGGAATGTTGACGTAAGCATTTTCACCTTCATTGTTGTAGTTAATAATGGATGGAAAAAGAGAGTTAATCTATGTTTATGTTAGGCATAAGCTCAAGTTTAGGGGTTATTTGTATTTTGTTTTAGTTTTTATCAGAATTAGGACTTTGTGGGTTAATTTGTTATGTGAATTTTGTAAAACTAATATACTTTAAGGTCTAATTATACTCTAGCAAGAGGACCCTCTTTGTCGACAAATATATATTTAATACCAAATATAACCTTATTGTTGAAATGAGTATCATTGAGAGAGAATTTTTCTGTATAATATGCAGGGGCTTAATCCTTTTATGTTCATCTTTGCTGTTGTTGGAAATGCAGCTTACGTCGCAAGGTGAATATTGCTTAAACTTTCATGGTTCTTTTACTACTGTTTGGCCTTTTGATTTACAGCCATTTACTTTAGCGTATGTTTGAAAGTAAATGGCGTATTTTCTTACCACGATGTGGGATGTTTCGAGTGTTAATTTTATCTGTTTCACCAATGGTCGTGGTTCTTTGTTGTCTAGCATTTTGGTGAACAGCATGGAGTGGTCGAAAATCAGTCCGAATCTTGCGTGGCTGGTGGATGCTGGAGGATGCATGCTTCTGGATATTTTTGTATCCTTTTTATATCGTCACTATTTCATATGTTTCTTCAAACATAGCATACTTGGTTACTTTGTTAAATAGTACAAGCGCATTCACATACTGGAAAGATTTGTTATTGTAGTTTCCTTCGAACATTGAACTTTTTTCTTGCAGAACAAGCAATATCTTGAACAATCTGAAATTCTTGTACCTTAATGTAGTTTAGATACTACTTCAATTCTTCCAATACTGGAGACACCGAAATGTAGGGGGTAAGGATAGACACTCCAATGCAGCCTAGTGAAGGAATCACATAAAAAACTTCAAGGTATGCATCTCTCTCGCTCTCTCTTTCGTCATGTTGGCGTGGCTTCTTGGCTTTAAGATGTTCTGTCGTGGCATATGGTATTGTCAGTTTCGAGTTGCATCATTTCGCTTAAACTTTGTTGGGTTCGTGATGTGTAGAGAATGGTAAAAACCGTAAAATGAAGATTTTATTTTCCTCTCGAAACATCGGTCATTAGCTGTCAACTTTGATGTTCTCCAAATCATTCTGTTGTGCTACATAGTTCTTGTAGTAGCAGACACAGATTTGAACCTGAGATTCATAAAATCTTGAACCTGACATTCTCTAATGCTATAATCTAATTTACTTCACTTTCTCTGAATCAGGATTCAGAATTTTCCAGGGAGCCATGTACGTGAATGAATCTTCGTCGCTACCTTTTCGGGATTTCTTCCAATCCGATCTGATCCCGTCCAGTTTCGTCGATTCTGCATCCTTACATTGGCAGACGAGATCGGTGTCTGCAATTTTCAGCTGTTACATTCAGAATTGTTTTTGTTGCTACTTATCCTTACTTCGCCCCCAGCTATAGCTGTTGACAGTGTTATTTTTCAATTTTCCAGTTTTGCCTTACTGGGAATTGACAACAAAGAACATCTTTTTTTCTTTAAAAAAAAAATAAACTACAAAATTTTCGTACTTTGTAAATCAGGATTTAACGCTTATTAAGCGCAGAGGAGAGGCACATTGTTGTAGTCAACTTGGTCCGAGCATCAGGGTTTAACGCTTGGTGTAAATTTCAGCAACATGTTGTCGAACACCCTTTATCACTTCCGGCATGTTTTCAACTACCCAAGTGAACCCGCACAATTATATGAGACATCCACCATATTTATTGAGAAACAAACTTCACACCCGACGCTTTGGCCTCTCTTTACCTTCATCTCGTGTTTGGGATCACAAGCTCCCTTGAATCTCCACCCATCCACCATTTTTTTTATCAGCGGATGGGTCTATTCGAACTTTGAGACATCTTCCAACATTGAAAAAAGAAGTACCGCTAGACCAATAATTTTGATGCCCTGGACCGAAGCCAATGGTGGAAACTAGAGGAAGACCAAAAGACCAGATAATTGCATTAAAATGACTTTTCAATACACACTTAAAAAGACTAATACATTTACACAAAAGGGTGATGCTCTGGACACAATGGAATACTTCAGTCCACTGGCACCTTAGCATTCGAAAATATTCCAGGCAACCTTGAATCTATCTCTTTACAAAGGAATGGTAATAAATACAGCAAAATATTCTTTAACAAAAATTCGTCAGGAGTCGAGAAATCAATGATTTTTTCGATCCCCTACTGTTACTAGGGAGCTGTATGCAAACATATCCATATAATTTTTAAATCTTGAGGTCCGCCACCAACAGACTTAACCCTAAAAGCTCAGAAATTTTGTGAAAAACGATGCTCACCTGCGCAGAATCCGTGAAGCAGTCCCAAAATAGTTTCCAGAGCAAGGAACAGTGCAAACATCACATTCTGTTCCAACGTATATCTCCGTCCTTTTACACGAATATTCTGTTCCAACTTCCAAGCAATAGACTCCAGATGATTATCACATTGGACAATCGACATCATGTATAAAAAAACTTCTTACAAAATTTCATGTCATTGCAGCCAGGAACGGTTTATGATCCAGATGACAAGGTATCACTCCTAATGCAGTGGCCCTTGAAAAAATGTCTTACCCCGATGTATCAATTTCCTTCCCAGAATCATCCTCATTTATGTTTCTCCTCAACCTTCTTAGCCATATATCATAGTCCATGGGATATGGTGTCCCACATAGACTATCAACATAATCGGCAAACGCTTTCAAAACGGTTGAGGCCTCACCTAACTTCTGCTGAATTAATCTCCTGGACCAATAAGTCTCTCTCCACTGCAGTGCCCCCTCAACCGAATCAAGATCAGGTAAAACCCCACCACAGGAAATATAAAGCATGTAAACAAGGCTCTCTGCATCTGAAGCTGAGCATAGCTTTCCCTCCTGGAGAGCATAAGTTGAAGAGAAATGAAGGTTCATTGAAGGGCGGTCCCTATCGTCAAGAATAGCACGTCCCCAACCAATAAGAACAAAATAAGGTTGCTTCTCGGCAGACCTGACACAAATCACATTCTCAGGCCTGATGTCTCCATGGCGAATTCCTGCAGAAGTAGCAGTTGAAAGTGCAGATAAGCAATCATGGCAACACCTGATCGCGTCCTCCATACCAAATCTGGCCTCGCTTATCATATGAGCCACTGTTTCGCCAACTGGGCTGGTCACAAGAATCGGGGTGCCACACCAGGGGTGATCACAGTTTCCACCCGAGCTGGGTTTCTGACACTGACCAGGGTGAATAATCCTGCCAGAAGCACTTAACTGAGGTAGATACTTGCTAGATAGACCTTTCTGTTTCATAATAGTCAATATTTTCGTCTGCCTCTGAACTTGATACCACAGATTCATATCCTCCCATGCAGGCTCCAGCTGGGAAGGATGAGAACCAACATATAGAAAGAAACTTTTCTGAGGTTCTTCAACGGGAGATGCAATGTAATATGGATGTTCATTATTATTCAAGACTTGACTGATATGGTAACCCTTTTGCCAGTTAGAATCCTCCAACCATAATACAGATCCTACTTCTAGCTTCATTAACTGTTTGGTCTCAATTTTTGCAGAATCATCCTGAACTTCAACAATTTCAGGGGACACACTACGCTGCTGGAACCGATAAAGACCATTTCCATTCGCCCGGGAATTCCCCAACTGCCTCTCAGTCCTTCTTGCTTGGAGGCGAGGACCATGATCAGCAGCTAAATCCTCTACCGAGTGCTTGGGAAATCCAGCAAATTGCACGATACAATGGAAGGTAGCAAAAAGTACCTGTAAGGCACCAACGTCTCCCCAGTTGGCATTTCCAACCTTGTTCCAGATCCTATCAATCGACGAGACTGCAATCCTAGAATGATTTGTAATCCATTCAGCAGCACATTCGTAAACATTATTGGCATCAAACACCATCTTATGTACATCTCCTTCAACCTTTACTACTCCACCATACTGAGAATCAACAAGAAGAATAAACACAGAGTTTGAACTCTGAGAGTAGTTCATTCTGCTCAAGCTTCTTGATAATAGTACACGAATAGCATAGAAAAGGGCCTCGCCTAAAACAGATAGAGAAAGCTGCCCGTCACTATCCATGGAAAAGTTTCTGATATCAGGCCTTAAAAGAGACAGTTCAAGAATATGATCCCACCTCCCACGGGGATGTCTAGGGTTTGTAAGCAATAAACCAGTAGCGCAAAGACCTCCAAGCTTACCATCCGCAACTGCCTTCTCAGCCTGGTAGAATTTTAAGTTTTCATTGTATAGACAAGCAACAGAAAAAGGCATGGGTCCATCCTGATTCCAGAATGCTTCCCACAATCCCTTCGCACCAGCATGTAAAAAATCTTCAATGGCAAGATAAGCAGTTGCTTCAACAGCATCAGATGTTGAAGCGTAAACGGAATTGGGCATCCTAATCACCTGCTGAAATGAAATCCCTTCCAATGCATAGTCAAACTTTTGAAGTTCTATCATCTCAAAAGGCACATCAAAGGCCGGTTTCTTTGGTTCTGATTCACAGGATATAGATTCAAACCAGTCTTCCAGTTGTGCAGTAAGCATGCCACTGTCTACAAATCTATGAAGAAACTCCTTGCAGTTACGAGACCTACTGCCAGATGATGCACTAGACCTCTTTGTCCCAGACCCAACCGATTCCTGGTCTGGGGACACACCTGCCAAATAAAGTATAATAATGTTGATCAGCTAAATGGGATTCCAAACAAGAATATGCACATGAATCTACATGTGTGTTTGTGTACTATTTCTTCACAAGGGCATCCACACAGTTGATATATACCAATAAACTGACACAATTGTTACTGATCGACTTTAAAAATGATAGAAAAGCTGTGCAGTTATCAAAATTTGACAATCCGTGCTTCTCTACCTTTTTCTATCACTTTTATAAGAATCACAAAAGCTTTATTAATGATGAGCGGAGAACAATGGAAATAAAATTGAACATAAATCCAACAAATAAAAAACTAATAAGAGTTTTTGTAGACTATTAAAATCCGTGTTTGCACTCCATAGCTTTTTCTGGTCAAATGCTGTACCTTATATATATTATTCTTTGTTTCAGTTTTTCATTCTTGGTCATCCTTATATGATATACGTAATGCATTCCCTCATGGTTGTGATTCCTTGGGCCCTACTCTCACACCACTCTCCTAATTTTTATCCTTGCTTCCTTTATCGAGTATGCTGTATTTCATTTTCCACCTAGTTTTACATTTAATCTTCTTCCACTATTCAATCCCCAAGTTCCACCAAAAGCAATACCTTTCCTCACTTAGCCATGTCCTCCTCCTCCAACATCATACTTGCATGGTTCCAAATCTGCCAAACAAATAATTGTCTCTCTATTATGCATCTAAGCTATTGGCTCTTTTGCAACCAATTGCGGCGACAATAAGGTGCCACGTACATCCCATCCACGTATTCATTTGGATCATTTTTTTCCATAACAAATTAGATACAATATGAACCAATTGTTTAAACAAGAGAATCATAAACATGATCACCACTAATTCAGATTAGAAGACATCAATCAAATGATCAAACATGCGAATTCATTAATCTAAACATTTCACATGAAAAAAATTCTCATCACCCATTTGTGCCCCTTCACCCATCCAATATACTCCACAAAAAAAATTAGAGATATGGAAAATTTTAGAAAAATACAATCTTGAAATGGAAACCATACTAGTCCCTACTGGCAGCGCCGTCGTAATTCCACCAACTTCTAGAGCAGTGCAGTTGCAACAATGACAATGTGAACCCATCACCCAATGCCTTTAGGCATTCAATTTATATCATAAATTTTACAGTCACAGAATTAGGGTCATTGTGCAATGAAACCCATAACTTATCCACCAAACACTCAGCTGGGCACATTAATTTTACTTCCTTTAGGGGAACAAGCTCTTGAATTCACTTTAAAAATACAAACTTGAGCTCTTGAATTTAATCAAAATTCAAAATTGAGCACAAAAAACACTGAATTAATAAGAAAATCTAACACACAAAACCTAGAGTTGACAAAGAGGCAACGAAACAGTCAAATTTGACGAGTACAGAGAGAAAGTGGGGGAGATGAAAGGCTGACCTTCCATTGCGGTTTGGGCTAACAGTCCAATCCAACGCAAACCCGTCCAACGCAGTCCGGTCCAACGCAACAGCTCATTCATCAACCATGTCTGCGCCTCCACCTACTCCTTCTACACCTCCGCCGATCAATCGCACGCTGCGGTAATTTTCTCTGTTATTTTCTTTATTTTTTGGTTTTATTTTTTTATCGGGTATCCGAATATAAGGGGTTTGCTTTTTGGGATTTTTTTTTAGTTTGGAGAATGTCTTCTTTTCGCCGGCCGAGCCGAGTCTCCGATTATTCGAACCCTCCGGGCCCGCACCATATACATGTATTTTATTTTATTTTATTTTATTTTTAATTTTGCCGTTTTAACGGGTTGGAGAAGAATATTTTTATATTTTTCGATTTTATTTTCATATCGCCCGGCTACGGCAGGGATTGAAACAAAAATCCGGTGAGAATATTGTACACGAAAAAGTTACACGACCTTGTATATGCTCATAAGTAATTTATAAATATATATATATATATGTATATTAGATCAGTCATCGAAGAAATTTGAACTCAAGCCGTTATGCAAAGGCTCAACACATTTCCACAATTCTGATAAAGGGCCACTTGTTGTTGATAAGTAATTTGGCTACTTTGTATATTATCAACTTTCTTTGAAAATGTTGAACTGCTCTTTATAGGAATTTTATCATGGTTGGTTCCTGAAATTGGACATTCTAATCAAAATGGTCCTAAACCCTCGACTTGGTCTTCGAAAATGAGTCTCATAAATCAATTTAATTATTCTATTAAATTATTGTTAATGTGCTAATGTGACGCACGAGTAGGTGCCACTTATCCAATCTGTAGCACCATGTGAATTAGAAAAAGCTTTTTAAGAATTAAAAAACTAAAATTGAAAAAAAAAACTATAAACAAATAAAACAGGGAAAAAAAATTCCTCGTCAATCACCATCATAGCAATTGTGGACGCGTCTGAAGGCGATCGACAACCATCATTGCCCAGATCTTAAATCTTGAGAGCATCCCCATCCACAACAGCCATCGCCAGCCCATCGTCCATCGCTGTCGACGTTATTGCCTAATTTGGTCTCTCTCTCACCCTCATTCATTTCCTAACTTTTGCAATTATTCTTTTTTGTTTTAGTTTTTTTATTGATTTAGTTTGTCAATTTTAATTTCAAAATCTTAAAGAAATAGTTTTAAGACTGATTCACGTGACGCTATATGATTGGATGAGTGTGTCCACATCATCACACTAACATAAAATTTAATAGAAAGCTAACTAAAAAACCAAGTTGACTTGCGAGACTCATTTTAATGGACCAAATCGAGCAATTTTCTATTATAAAGATCATTTTAATTGAAATATCCAATGTCAAGTCAAGTACCAATCAGAATAAAAACCCTTTTATATATTAATCAAATTTACAGTGAAACTCCAGCTTTTTTTTATATCAAGAATAACCTAATTTTAAAAATTAAAAAAATAAAGAATAACCTAATACAAAAATATGATTTTTTGTTAAAATTTCTATTTTAAAATTCTATTATTTAGTCGGCCCGGCCCTTTGCCTTTTCTAGCTGGGATAGAATGACACACCCCGACCTAAATCGAGGCATGCTGGCCGTCACGTGAGGGTGACGTAGCCATGTGCATAGTGCGGAAGCAATAAAGATAAGGAAATGCGAATAAATAAAAACCAACTAACTAGAGCACTAGATAAGGTAAGGTGCAAGACGAGAATAAGTGTGAGTTCACAATCAGAGCATAAATAGCCTAAGTGCAGTCCAGCATGACGAATACTAATTATACAATGTTGATGCACAAAATCAGTGAGGACTTTGGTATAACAGAAAATGTTAAGTTTGTGACATTCGCTAGATTGCTCTGGTCACTAGTATGAATAAGTATGTAAATGGATAGAGATAGGGAAGCAAATACAAGATGTACGTGGTTCACCCAGATTGGCTACGTCCACGGAGTAGAGGAGCTCTCATTAATTGTGAAGGGTTTACACAAGTACATAGGTTCAAGCTCTCCTTTAGTGAGTACAAGTGAATGATTTAGTACAAATGACATTAGGAAATATTGTGAGAGAATGATATCTATTTATAGAAGAGAGTTTCTAGTTTCATTTTGACATTGACACGTGTCGTGTTATGATTGGCTTCTGATGTTGACATGTGTCGCGCTATGATTGGTTTTTTATATCGACACGTGTCGCGCTGTGATTGGCTTCCTGGTTGGAGGGAAACTTTTCTGGGTCCTTGACGGTATAACGTTGACTGATGCTCAGTAGTTTCGGGATTAGTCAAGTATGGTACAAACAGTGCTCCCCTAAGTTCCCGAGTGAGGGAAACTCTTCGGTTGGGGACTTGCAAGATCCAAGCCATTGAGTAATCATGAAACTTCTAAGTACCGAAGTGTGGTATCATTTTAACTTGCCTTATCTGTCTCATATGTAGATATGACATCTTCTCAGGAAGTACTTTTCCTCCATCCAGGGGTGATATTTTTAACCGATGAAGATGCACAAGGTAATGTATCAATTTCACTTGAAGCTTATTTGTAGTTTCGGGCTTGGTCCAGTGCGATACAAAACCCTATAGTAGGAGTCCCCCAAGTCGCTGAGCTAGGAGATTTGCCAAAAGAGGTAATAGACAAGGTAAGCAATCAAACTTCCAAGCAAGCAACCTGGATCGGATGTTCGACTTCGGTTTTCGGTTGATTGTTCTCATTCTCATTGTGTTGTAAACAGCAACAAGGATAAAGAGAAGAAAATGGAGAAGATATGATATGAGATACTTTTGCTTTTGAAGAAGTAACTTTCCACAGACTTATTCTTGAACTGGGCTGGAGGGTTTTCTGGTTTCCTCCAAAGTATAAGGCCGACTCAAGAATTTGAGGGTCAAAGTAGTGGATGTATCGGCACGTGTTCTGTTACTTTTGCTGTTGACAAAGTAGTGGATGTATCGGCACGTGTTCTGTTACGCTTGTCTCCACATGCTTCCTTGTATCATTCTCACTTGCCCTATCTGTTCCTCAGGCAGATATGGTATCTTCTCTGGAACCATAAGATGTTGAAGATGAGTACTCGAGAGTAATGCCAGGTAAGTAATCAGGCAAGGGGTTCCAGGTAGTCAGTTTCTAACTGGAAGCTTGATTCCAAGTGCTGACTGATTGCTCTCATTCTCTTTGTCTTGTAGGTAAGAACAAGGCCAAAGGAAAAGATAGGGAAAAAGCATGATATGAGATACTCTTGCTTTTAACCCTGATGATATGAGATACTCTTGCTCTGGTGTGGCTTGTTTGCAGAGGTATTATCGGGAGGAAAAGAAGCTGAGTATTTCGAGAGACTCTGCTGAGAGTGCCCTCTCGGATGTGAAGAAAAATTGAGCATTTTTTTTTATTTTCAGGTTTGCCTGGCTGTGGAGGATGGAAGTCGACATATATAGGAGTCTTCCTAACAAGTAGTAGTGTTATTTTCAGTGTGCATGTTCTGTGTCTAATATGGCCCAATGCCTATTTGCTCGAACCCGCCAAGTTGAATCATTGGCGGCTGAAGTGATAAGTCTCAACAGGAGATCAGAGGGCTCAAGCATGAAAATAAACAGTTGCACATGCTCGCACATAACTATGCTACAAACATGAAGAGGAAGCTTGACCAGCTGCAAGAATCTGATGGTCAGATTTTACTTGATCATCAGAGGTTTGTGGGTTTGTTCCAAAGGCATTTATTGCCTTCATCTTCTGGGGTTGTACCGCGTAATGAAGCTCCAAATAATTAACCTTCGGTGCCTCCTCCTTCTGAGGTTCTACCTAGTACTGAGGCTCCAAATAATCACCCTCTGGTTCCTGCTCTTTGTGGGGCTTTGCCGACTGCTGAGACTTCTTCTGAGCAACCTTTGTGAAGGCTCCCTCTTGTTTGTTTATTTTGATTCATGTACATGTCCATATTTGTAACTTATCGGAGATATCAATAAACAAGCTTTGCTTCATTTCAACGTATTGTGTTAAATAGACCAAGGCCTTCTTGACTAAGTTCTTTAAATTTTTCCTTTTGTTGAAGCTTTTATGTTGAAGCTTTGTGAGTGAAGCATGTAGGTTGAGGTAGTGCTCCCTTAATTTCCCGATTGAGGAAAACTTCTCGTTTGGAGACTTGAAAAATCCAAGTCACTGAGTGGCCGTGAGATTTTCGAGTATCAAGGTGCAGTAGCATATGGTAGGAGTCCCCCAAGTCTCCGGTCGAGGGAGTTGACGAATGAGGCATTTACTTTCTAAGTGGTAGCCCAAAACTCATTATTCATATGTATTTGTTATGAAAGTTGTTAGGCCCAAAGAATAGGAGGCCAAGGTTTTTTTTTTTTCAAAATTTTTTTTTTCGATTTTATTTTTTTTCGAATTTTTGAATTTTTGAATTTTTGAATTTTTGAATTTTTGAATTTTTGAATTTTTGAATTTTTGAATTTTCGAATTTCAGAAGAAAAAAAACAAAAAAAAAAAATATATATATATATATCAACTTTGGTGTTGAAACTTTGTAGGTGAAGCTTTAATGTTGAAGCTTTGTTGGGCACCATGAATTGATTTTGCTTCACATTATCTTGATCAAGATAGCGTGAAGCTTTTGTAGGTGAAGCTTTTATGTTGAAACTTTGTAAGTGAAGCTTTTGTGGGTCAAGCTTTTGTGGGTGAAGTTTTTGTGGGTGAAGTTTTTGTAGGTGAAGCTTTTGTGGGTCAAGTTTTTGTGGGTCAAGTTTTTGTGGGTCAAGTTTTTGTGGGTGAAGCTTTTGTGGGTGAAGCTTTTGTGCATCAAGCTTTTGTGGGTCAAGCTTTTGTGGATGAAGCTTTTGTGGGTGAAGCTTTTGTGGGTGAACTTTTGTGTTAAAGCTTTTGTGGGTGAAGCTTTTGTGTTGAAGCTTTTGTAGGTGAAGCTTTGGAGTTGAAGTTTTGTAGGTGAAGCTTTGTAGGTAAAGCTTTGGAGTTGAAGTTTTTGTTGGGTACCATGAATTGATTTTGCTTCACACTATCTTGATCAAGATAGTGTGAAGCTTTTGAGAATTTGTAGTTGTCCTCCATTGATGAAGCTTTTGTTGGTGAAGCTTTTGTGTTGAAGCTTTGTAGGTGAAGCTTTGGAGTTGAAGCTTTTGTTGGGTACCATGAATTGATTTGCTTCACACTATCTTGATCAAGATAGTGTGAAGCTTTTGAGAATTTGTAGTTGTCCTCCATTGATGAAGCTTTGTTGAATTTCCTTTTTT